AAGTATATTTATTCATGTTTTTAAAAGCGTGAAAGAGAACTTGCGCTGCTCCTCAGGAAGATATATGCGCTCAGAGACGGAACAGAACATGGACATGTAACTTAAAGTCATCTTTTAGCTCAAGGTGCGCGCCTAAACGGTCAAATACACGCAAAAATGTGTCAAAATGCGGCGCTTAGTGATTATTCATGTATACCTTCGTTGGTCATGTAATAAATGAACGTAGAGAGTTGAGAATGAAAATACGCGTGTAACGGTAAATTGGATCCGCGCGGCTCTTAAGGTGACAGCGGGCTATTTTCCTGCTGCGACTGTGTGCTTAATATTAATCAAACAACAAAAGACAAATTCACACTGCACTTGAGTGAAGGACTTTTGTAGCTTTAATAAGAAACAAAAAAGTTTAATTCTTACAGTGAAGACTATGCTGTTTTATTTTACATTTGATTATTAATTTCTGTAGTTGTTACATGTTCTCTGTGCGCTGTTTGGACTTTTATGTTGAATGTTATGGTGTCGTTCTGCTCCTTGTTCTGCCCGTGTTTTGGTTCTCTGTTTCCCAGTGTTTCCGGTTCTTTGTTCACTTATTCTTTTTACTAAGACCGGTTTCCTTCAAACCCACAACTCAGCCTGTTTCCTTCAGCCCCCAAATATAACAGTAGTAGGCTGTAAACTGCTTGAGACTTGCAGAAAAAACATTAAAGCAGTTTGTTTCATTTGTATCTTTTTATTCTATTGTATTCGTCCTTTGCTTTTTTATTACTGACACTTTAATTATTTTCAATAATTGAGGACTTTTTGTTTGTTTGTTTGAAATTGCGCTGGTCTCTACAATGTAGATGTCATAGCAACCTTATTTACAGGAAATATATATTTGATGTGTATCACTATCTTTAAATAAATCACTCATATAAAGTTTTGCTCATTTGGCCCCCTCATAATTGTGTTAAATAATCGTGATTACAATATTGACCAAAATAATCGTGATTATGATTTTTGCCATAATCGAGCAGCCCTAGGTTCAGCAAAGAATGCTGTACTTTTAAGTAACTTTTCTTTTATTTTTACATGTGCAGAGCACAACTATTCACATACAGTCTTTCTGCATTGTACTTTCAAATAATCTTTCCATGCAATCTAAGTCTATTCACCATGCAACAGCAAAATGAAACACAAAAGACACACACGCACAAGCTAATAAAGAATATAACTAAAAAACAAACAATTTTATTGTTTATCAGACTCAAGCAGATGCAAACAATGAGCGAAGCAAATCAACGCTGACTGAGACATCGGCTCTAAAATACATGAGAGCAGTGATAAGTGTTCCACACGGATGAACGAGAGACGAGCGAGCGAACGGGCGGCACGCAGACCGGGGAGGGGTGCGTAGCCGAGCAGAGTTTGACAGGCAATTACAGATCCACGGGGGCTTTAAACCACATCACATGGGGGATTTAAACAATTACAAAAAGCTCTACAAACCTGCCACAGTGACTCCATCTGTAGATTTATGATTTTCCGCAGACTGACAGCCATTAAAGGGGGAAAAGAATAATAAGCATTTTAGCCTTACAAAGTGCAGAGGACCATGAGGTGGGCTGATGCTATTTATCACTGTCAGTCGGGGGAACGGGACAAACCTGCCGCTCTTACAGGATTAGGCCCCAGATTTCATGGTCAATTAGTACCAAATACAGGTACAAAATGGATACAATGTGCCGTGATCCAAAAGCCAATTAGAATTAACTTGACGGAGCTCAAACTCAAAACACACGGTAGCTCAAAACACGGAGTGAAGGGATAGATGTAAAATAAGCCAAAGAAAGTAAAAACAACATCAACAAAACAGCCAAGAGCAGTTTGTTGGGGCAAAGAGATCTCTCTTTTCTAGCTGTATGAATTGTGAAATACAAGTGTCTGTCTATAGAGAAATAAAGCCTTTGCATTCATAACTAGGAAGAAAAGTCACAGCCACAACGCTGGGGTGTCTGGATCGTTGCCGGGGCATTGCTATGCGGTTACTGCAGTGTTCAAAAGAGAGCACAACAAAATGTAAGGATGTTGCATTTGAGGAATTTTATTCAGAATCTGTTGCATTTGGTTCATACTCCCTGGATCAGTACAGCTAGTTTGATCTCAGGGGGCATTAGAGAGAAGGAGTAGTGGAAAAGTAGAAAAGTGTCTGGGGAAAAAATATGCACTCAAAAAGTGAGAGGAACGACAACAAAAGACACAAACATTATAGACGTCCAGTGTAGTCTTACTAAACTCACTCACTACCAACCTAAGCAAACTGACTAGCATAGAATATTTATTTACAGCCACAAGACCAGGATCGGTTGAATCTGCTCTGGCTGGTCTTTCATAGGATGTCGTCATGGAATAACACCCGGCTAAAAGCACAATAAGCAACTTTTTGGGGACACCACGCATAAAATGTCCCTCCTATCTGACAGATATCACTGAAATAGGTGTCCTGAGAAATCAAATATCTCTCTGTGACACCTCTAGGCACTATAAAAAACTAAAAAAAAGAAAGAAAAAAAAAACTTGAAATTCGAAGGTTTATAAGCCTTACAGTAAGAACAACACAGACAGACAGACAGACAGATAGACAGATAGATAGATAGATAGATAGATACTGCCTGGATGAACGGATAGACAGACAGACAGATAGACGGATGGATAGATGGATAGATAGACAGACAGACAGATAAATAAATAGATACTGCTCTTATCAACAGTTTATTCATTTATACCACCCTCAAATTTTGACCGAGAGACACATGCAGCGGTGCAGCCTGGGAAACTGGCTTTTGAGTGACAGCAATGAGGCTTTTATTAGTTTAAAGCGAGGAAGATGAGGCATTCAGACCACAGAGGAGTTCGCAGACCACTAAAACCCACGGCGCCAGACGTGGTCCAAAGACAAAGTCTTTCACCGCTTCACCCCGATCATCCATATCTCCCGCTCATCCTTTTCTCGTTTCATCTCTGACAACAGATCAATGCTTTCACTTTCATCCAGTATAGGTAAAAGAGCAAGACCTTCAAATCAGTCCTGTGCTCATTTTGTTGGGGATTTTTTTCAAGCTTAAAGCGCGGAGTGAAGTGTGGTGTGACACGGCAGCCGTACCCTGAAGCGATGTTCTCACCGTACTTTACATCATCGGCTTGCCTTATGAATACACAATATGCAAAATGTACCTGGGCTCCAGTGAGGGGGGATGTCAGGCGAATACATAATGACAGTAACATGGAGGGGGGTGGGGAGGCAGGAAATACCAGATGTCCATCTTTGTCGTTAGTAAAAGAGGTTTTGGGTGGGTTTGACAGGCCAGTTTAATGAGGTGAGAGAGAGGATAGGGTGACGCGTCGATGTAATCGATAGCAGAATTAACACATTGACATGCGGACTGTTTACTTTCAGCCATTTTCTTTGCACAATTAAGCGCCTGAGATCTGCAAGTCAACTATGATTAATCCCGGGGTCACTCCACTGTCTCCCTATATTTCCACTTGAAGTATCAAGGCCTGTGTTTATAACTCCAAAGTGGTGTGTAGACATATGTGAGTGCTTCACTTCTGCAGAAAATGTTTGTGTGTGTGCGTATAGTCAGGGTTATGCACAATTAAGAACCAAAGAAATGGCTCCCTTCCAATTTATGAGTGTGAATTTGAATTCAAATTGTGCTACCACAATTCAAATCGAGTTCAAATTCGGAAACTGATTTGCAATTGAAAAGGCATTCTCAATTTAATTCTGAATGGTGGAGTTGGAGTTGAAGCTGTTTGATAGCATTATGGGGTTTATGGTGCTTGGGCTTTATGCTGTTTTGGAGTTTATGCCAATTGAAGCCTCAACTCCAAGAACTCCATCTGCAGATCGAGGTTGATGTTGTTTGAAGCTGATCTTGGGGTTGATGCCTTTTTGGAGGTGAGGTCTTTTTCAGTCAATGCTGTTTTGGGGTTGAGACCTTCTGCAGTTGATAGCATTTTGGAATTGATGACGTTTTTAGGTTGATACCAGTTGAGGCTGTTTACAGTTGATACCAACTGAGATTGACTCCTTTTTGGAGTTGAAGCTGTTGATTGTAGATTGTGTTTCAGGGTTGATCATGTTTCATGGTAATCGAGTTCAAATTTGGAAACTGATTTGCAATTGAAAAGGCATTCTCAATTTAATTCTGAATGGTGGAGTTGGAGTTGAAGCTGTTTGATAGCATTTTGGGGTTTATGGTGCTTGGGCTTTATGCTGTTTTGGAGTTTATGCCAATTAAAGCCTCAACTCCAAGAACTCCATCTGCAGATCGAGGTTGATGTTGTTTGAAGCTGATCTTGGGGTTGATGCCTTTTTGGAGGTGAGGTCTTTTTCAGTCAATGCTGTTTTGGGGTTGAGACCTTCTGCAGTTGATAGCATTTTGGAATTGATGACGTTTTTAGGTTGATATCAGTTGAGGCTGTTTACAGTTGATACCAACTGAGATTGACTCCTTTTTGGAGTTGAAGCTGTTGATTGTAGATTGTGTTTCAGGGTTGATCATGTTTCATGGTTGTTGGCGATTGCAGTTGATGGCTTTTTTGGGGGTTGAGGCCATCTGCAGTTAAAGGCATTTTGGGGCTGATGTGGTTTAGTTTCACTGCAACATCCTAGGATCTGGACAGCTCCATTCTCACAGATGGACCGGCCTGATGATGTCTGGTCTGGGAAGTTCTCTCATTTTCTCTCTTTCATCCTTCCTTCCCCCTCTCCATCTCTCCTCCCATCTCATCCAACCATCAGCGGCTCACTCCTTGGCATTCTCTGTCTCATCCCTCTCAGCTTCTTGGCAACATCAGATTAGCTGCTTCCGAAGAGCATTTCCAGTAAATGTAGCCTACTTTAGATCCAGGATTAGCTGCCAATGATTCAATAAAAAGCTTTTTTTTTGGATAACAGTAAATGTTGGTTTTGCAGTTTGGTACAGGACAGTATGTGATGGCGTGGGTACACATGCAGTGTTATCAAAAGAGCCAAATTATCCCTAAGGGAAGAGGTTATTATTTCACAACTGTGTGTGTTCACAAATTAGCATAACAAAGACTCACCTCTGCCATTTTGGCAAGCTCGGTCCAATCAGCTTTGTTGTAGCTGCACATTATGCTGGATATGACAATCTATGGGGGAGAGAAGAATAAGAGAGAGATTTCAGCATGGACAGAATTCAACAACAGGTTTTCTTTGTCTCACCTTGTGGCCTTTAACAGAGGCCCGTTTCATTGTGTACAAAAAAATCCCCCATTAAGGTCCCATTTCAGCACATTATAAAATGGATCTGAAGGCCATTATCTTGTCTTTAAAAAGTAGCTGCCGCCTTCTTCACAACCCTCAAAGTCACAAAATCAATATTTATAATTCACAAGACCAGGACAAATCCACTGTTGCGCTGCCTTTATTAAAACAGTATCAAGCCCCAGAGCAGGGTGTTAGATAAGAGCATTTGCTGGATTAGCCTGCACCGTTTGTTGTTGCTTTTTCCCTTTGGACACACAATAAGCCAGTCATAAAACAGGTTACGGAAGGTCTGCTTCTCAAAAACAACTCCTGGTTTTCAGTAATCACGGACATAAAAAGCTTTTGAAACTGTACCGAGTGTACCATAGCACCAATTGTCCAGAGATGGACTTTCTGCCCACACTTGCTAGTGGAAAGAGTAGCTACCAGGTCAAAATTTCAGCACACTGTGTCCCTCATCGTGATATTTCTCCAGGAAAAATCTAACCGTGTTAACCGCATATGTGGCCGCACTCCATTATGTGCCTAATAGCTGCAGAGATGTGGAGAAGAACCCTGCAATGAAGGCCAGCCTACCTTGTGTTCCTTGGTCCAACAACGCGATTACATCTAAACTCGTCTCATCAGATGTCCATGACTTACACTCGCCGCTGATGAGGTGGAGGTGGGCGGCACGGGGGACGGTGAAGATTGATACTAACAACAGGATAACAGGAGTCCAGGGAGACTCTGAGAAAACTGATTTCATGGGAGGATATTAAACTTGGAGGCTGTGTTGTCCCCCCGAGACAAATTTCCGCTAGATATAAATCTCTCGGGCATTACACTTTCCCAAAAGCAGCAGGCAGTTAGATGCTAAGCTTAGCCCACCTACACGAGAGCAGAAAATATTGCCAAGTTTTAGGGGGCAAATAAAGTTAAGCACTCTGACATTTACCGCCGAGATTTACAGTACAACACTGACATATAAGTGATATGTGATACACCCTGAAATACTGTTTGGTAATATTACCATAAACCTCAGGCCACCGGCGAGCAACAGCGGGGTTCCTAAAGAAGACGAAGAGATCAATGCCGCAGGCTTCATTTAAGGTATTATATGCAACGTGAGTATTCTGTTTTGATTTGGTCTTGACCTTTGCTCGCGTTAACGTCACGTTATTGCAGAACAGCCCTTGAGAAGCTGAAGAGGGATCAAGTTTTAAGTTTATTAACACCAATCCAGCCTGAGCTCCCCTGCTGGAGCGTCACATTAACCGGTGCCGAGGCTGCGGGGTTTGAGGAAGATCGGGGATTACCTGGTTATAAGCTCAATAACCTCCCTCCGGGTGAGCGCCTCCGAACCCACCTTACACTCTAACAATGTGTCTCCATGGAGATGAGTTACCTGGAGGCCATAAGAGAACATGTGGAGCTATGATTCCCGCCGATTCTCTAACGCAGTGCTGTGACCATTTCCTAATAATGGGAAAAAATGGAAGCGCTGATAACGGCAAACCACAATTTGTCCAGTTCAGAGTCACAACAGCCAGAGCAGCATCCTGCTGAGGTTTCTGTTACAGGAACGGTAAAGAGAGCATTTTAGCGCAGTGGGTGTACATGTGAGGGATTGTTAGCTATGAATGCACCAAAGCAACCTAAAAGTTCGCCAGCCAGACTTCTACCTCTCACACTGACAAATTTAACTGACAAATAATCACGCTAACAATACACTCAGAGTTTTCTAAAGCATTCGTTGATATGACAATAGGTACTAAAAAGAACATAATAAATAATAAAAAAATATAAAGTGAAGTGACATGTGGCCAAGTATGGTGACCCATACTCAGAATTAGCGCTCTGCATTTGTCCCATCCAAAGTGCACACACACAGCAGTGAACACACACACACCGTGAACACACACCCGGAGCAGTGGGCAGCCATTTTTTGCTGCGGCGCCCGGGGAGCAGTTGGGGGTTCGGTGCCTTGCTCAAGGGCACCTCAGTCGTGGTATTGAAGGTGGGAGAGAGCGCTGTACATTCACTCCCCCCACCTACAATCCCTGCCGGTACGAGACTCGAACCCGCAACCTTTGGGTTACAAGTCCGACTCTCTAACCATTAGGCCACAACTTCCCCTTTTAAAAAACACACACAAAAACATGTGTTCCATCTTTTGTTCGATGGAAGCTTAAAAGACAAATTTGAAATCAAAATTGTAGTTTTTTTATTTTTTATTTTAGGCATTGTACAGAAAATTCTGGTGTCCATGAAAAACATGAAAAAATTGCATGAAGTTCGATTTTCACCAGCCTGATCCATGTATGTGGTATGTGTATGTGGTTTGAAATTCAATCACATTTTTAAGTCAGTTGTGTGCCAGTTTTTTTCTTTTTTCTTTTTTATTCTGATAATAACGTTCATATTTGGAAACTGACCTCATGAATAAATATAATCAATAGCAAACCATCTATTATCCATCTACAGTCACTGATATGGAAAATTTTGTTGCAGTTTGTTTACATTTTTTTTTACAAAAACATATAAGAAAATAAAAAATTTTTTTTTTTTTTTTTTTAGAAAATAAAGACTGAATATCTTCACATGTGTATATATAGTTAAATATGCTTAAGATTAAATTAGCATAAGTAGATATAACAAATTGTGCAGTCTTTCTTTTCTAGGAAAACATAGCAAAAACCTACACTCATGGCATACAAATATTACTGTTTTAACAAGAAATACGCTCGTCAAGCAATTTCTTAGGGTGTCTACGGCAGCAAAGCATATCTCAGCTCAGTCGGGGCCCTTAAAAGGAGCTTCTCTCTTTTTCTCTCTCTACACTCTCTTCACCTTGTTTCAGAAAGAAGCGATACATCTCTGCTGCTTTCATCCTCAGTACAAAAGCCGCCCCAGTGAATGCTGGGCATCACTTCCATTAGTGCTGCCCATGATTGCCGTCAGAATGTCCTGCAGAAATCAATTAATCCTTTGATATTTCTTGAGCACAAAAAGAAACCCAGATACAAGAATCTTAGAAGTGAACAAATGAGTTGTCATTTGGTAATTTCGGCAAGCATATGCCGCTCCTGCTGTACCGATACGACGGCTGAATAAAAAAAAATTTACTTATGGATGGGGCTAGCTCACATCATAAATATTTGGATTTCATTAACAAACATGAGGATCACATTACTATGAATAATAAATGGAACAATGAGAAATGAATATTGAAATCATATTCAAATTTTATGACTTGAGAGCCAAACCACTGAGGAAAAAATGAAAATAACTAAATTAGAAATAACAATTTTCTCTTCTCAACATGTTCATGTCATGAGCATATCTATGTTCAGTAATGCAGAAATAAAACAGCAGCTGCTCTGGTTAAAGACTCTAAATTAAGCTGAATATTCTTATATTCTTACACTAGCAACAGATCCATAAAAATCACATCTCTAACTAGCTGGGACTGTCAACACTGTGACACATCATGACATTTTGACGGACTTGTGAATTCTATTTTTGACGTGTCATGCTAGGTAGCCCCGCTGTGAATCTCACTGGTCCATTTTCTCAATACAATGTTCTTTTTCGCGTTCGTTCAAGTCATGTGATCTGTGCTTGTGTCCAACTTACATTGTCAGGAAAGTCGGCTTTGAGTTCCGTCACACTCTGGCACCAGTAGGCAGCCGTCTTCTCACTGATCAGCTCAATGTTCAGGAAGGAGCCCTGCCCGGGACCAAACAGCGGTCCGGAAGTGGTTCCACGCACAATGCGCGGAGACACATTGGTGACCAAATCCTGCATGAAGGAAAAAGAGAGAGAAAATGTTTGGACTTAAGCAGTTAGCATTTAGATCAAAAAGGTCATACGTACATGACCTCGAGCCACCTCCATTAGCAACTAATAATTAGCGCACTAGGGGAAAAGACCTACACCGTGGAACCAGACCTACAAATTCGACTATCCCAACAGACTCCACAGCTATAAAATATGCTCCGCGGCTATAATTTCTGTGTAGAACAACATAAAGACGACAATTACGACCATATTATACAGAAATTCATGACACAAATTCAATAGCGTTATTTCTCCTTCCCTCTCCCAGGGGGCTTTGAAGTGGAGCTAAATTCATATTTAATCATACACGTTTGAAATTGTGCCGTGCAGTAGGGAAAATGAAGTCTACTTGAACCACAAAAAAAGGGTTTTTACATTACAACATAAAGTCAATCATCCATCAGTTCGCACCAATATCTTCACTTTCTCACACTTTCCCAAATTACATTTTTTACATGTAGCAGAGGCTTGTCTTTTCTCAAAAGGCCCACGAGCCTTGATAGATGTGCTCTGTACTACATTAAGCTGTGGTTGAAAATTCATCTTTTGGCATTAGAGTCCCAAAGGATTCCCTGCCAAACTGCGATACTATTCATCACTGATTGGATGTACAGAGTACAGGTCATCGTGGCCAGACAGTAATCAGTTCACGCGGTAAATTAGAAGCCAAGCTAATGAAGCTGTCAGAGTCGTGAGGATCGTGGCATCCAGTGAACCGCTATTGGCTAATGGCTTTGGCTCTTGATATGAGGTTCCACCAAGCCAATGAACTGATACTCTCACCGATGTAGATGCATCTTCTGGGGTCGGGCCAAGAAATCTGTTGTGTCATATTTCAAACCTATGTGCAAATGACAAACTGAGTTTATATTTACATGTTTTTGCAGCGATGACAAAGAACCATTTTTGGTTCCCCAAAGAACCTTTCAGTGAGCAGTTCTTGTAAAGAACATTACAAAAAAAAATCTAAAGAACCTTTTTCCACTATAGAGAACCTTTTATTCAGTGAAAATATTCTTTCCTAAAAATAAAGGTTCTTTATTGGCATTGAAGGTTCCGTGAAGAACATTTAACATCCATACAACCTTTCCATTCCACAGAAGGTTCTTTGGATTATTAAAATGTTGCAGAAAATGTTTTTTTTAATAACTGTTCACTGGAAGGTTCTTTGAGGAACCTAAAAAGGTTCTTCTATTGAATCACAGTGAAAACACCTTTTTAGAACCTTTATTTTTAAAAGTGTTCCATGTTAAAGGTTCTTCATGAGACTATATATGCCAATGAAGAAGCTTTATTTTGAAGAGTGTATGGTTTTCTGAGAGTTAATGATATTCTGGTCTCTGGATACGTCTCAGGACCCTACATGATTTGAGGTATCATTCATGTCTGTAGCACAAACGGTGTGGGACCAGATATGCACTGACGTTTAATATTGAAGGTTAGGGGTTTGTTCTAATCCTTAGCAAGCATCATTATTTAAAGACAAAGAGGGACTCGTTTTAATCCAACGTGTCCATGACCGCGGCGCTAAGAGGCTAAAGGGTTAAGAAATTACATTTTGTGTTTCGTCTTCTTCTCTTGCTGTGAAAACTGAACCGATAAACTCAACAGAACAAACAAAAGGCAGTGACAGCTTAATCCTTTGAACTCTGATAAACCACCCATCATAATTTAACAGTGTGAGAGGACGATTTGCATATCCTAATTAGAACCTACGCCTTACAGAACAATTACAATAATGGCACGCAAAGTCGCAAACTTCATTTTACAACATTTGAGCACTTTTCAAGCCACGGAGACAAGAAACTTTCATTGAAAATGTGATCAAATCATTATTGTTATTGCCCATACTTGGTTAGGGATTGTAACAAATTTCCAACTTTAGACATGTAGCTTGTGCTGTGGACATGAATGACACCTCACATCTTGTTAAGAGGTGTGAACAGACTTCCAATTTTCACCTGGTGGACAATAAAACAGGAAAAAATAAAACAAAACACCAAAGTCATATTGCAATAGAGATATCAGCCTTATCTAGAGATAAGAAAATATAGAGGCTATGGCAAGCAACGCTCTAGTTCACTAGCAACCATCTAGAAATACACCAAAAACACTTGTAAGCCCTTAGCAACCAGATATCAACGCCCTGGTAACTACACACAACACTCTAGCTTCATGACAGTGAGTTTATCTAAAAATAAAATAAAATAATAAAATAAATTAAAATAAAATGTAATAATAATAATTTACTTTTATCACTTTACTAATCTAGGTGGGTTAACAAAATAAATAAATAAACAAATAAAGGCAAGCATACATACATGAACTAAAACAAAATATTTATTTACTTTGACAAAAATACACAATAAATAAACATTTAATCAGTTTCATTATATACATCATATACATTTTCATAATAATACAATTATTATTATTATAATAATTATTATTATTTTAGGTTTAGGAGTACACATACAGCCAACTTCAAAGCTAACAAACATACATGGACTAAAAGCCACAACACTTACATTTCTGATTTCAGTGCATCATTAGCTATGTTTCCATCCACCTATTTTTATGCACATTTTGGATTATCGCATAAAAAAACGCTGGATGGAAATGCCAAGATGCGCATAAATTCTAAAAATGTGCATAAAAAAACTTATGCGCACAACTGAGTAGGATGAACTTTTTATCCGATAAGAAAAAATGCGCATAAACTACGATGGAAACACATTTACCGAATAAATTCCACTATGCGCATTGAAAAAGTCACGTGACTTTGCGCTATGAGACGGGATAAATTGACTAACCAGCGGACCGATCTCGTTCACAGCATCTATATGTGACCCTAGACCACAAAACCAGTCTTAAGTGTCAATTTTCAAATTTTCTCAATTCGAAATTGAGATTTATACATCATCTGAAAGCTGAATAAATAAGCTTTCCATTGATGTATGGTTTATTAGGATTGGACAATATTTGGCTGAGATACAACTATTTGAAAATCTGGAATCTGAGGGTGCAAAAAAATCTAAATACTGAGAAAATCACCTTTAAATTTGTCCAAATGAAGTTCTTAGCAATACA